TTTCATCATTACTGTTTCATTAGAAACACCGACGCAGCTCACACTAGTTTTTAGCTAGTTATATCTTCTTAAAAGGAAGGAAGGAAGGGAAGGAGGGAGAGAGGAAAAAAGGAAGGAAGGAATGAAAAAAGAAGGAATTAAAAATACAGACGTAGAAAACTAAAGGAAAAGAAAGAATGCATGAATGTATGTTGTACAAAGATCATGTTATAAATTGACATATTTTGAATCCATTTTCTACCTTCTTGAAGATCATTATGGCAGAATACAATTGCAGCCTGGGAAGACTTGGAGGTAATGTAGTTTCTAAATGAAATAGAACCCACTAATTAATCAAATAATGTTAGAGTGCAAAAAAATATCTGTGATATAGCACAAAAACTAAATAGCACTAAACACATCTACAGTTGTTTTTCTTTTGATTTCAATTGTTTTATTGGTGCTATTTTGTACTAATTAGTTAGTACTATTTCACAGATATATGGTTTGCACTCCATAGCATTTATTGTTACTGCTATCAATAAATAAGACAAAAAGTTGATAATTAATGACGTGGCTCAAAAACTGCTGATTGGCTTATCTAAATCTCAACTGAGAGTGGCAATGTGGTTCACTGCTGAAATAATCTCAGGCGCTGTGACAAAATGGTGGACGAGGATGGATTCCTGTTGAGCATTTTTCTGCTAATAAATATGAAAAAAAAAATTATTTACTGGCCAGGAGGTCCGGATTGGGAAAAACTGTGCCCGAGGTCTTGAATATACTGATCAAGGCCGTTAGGCTGAGGTCCGTTTTCAAGACTGAGGGCACAGTTTTTCCCTATCCGGACCGACTATAGGATGGTAAATAACTTATTAATTTTTTCCCCTATTTTTTTTACTTGTTTTTGTAATCGTTTTGTTTTGTTGTTTAGCGGCAAAGGATACCAGACCGTGAGCGCGGGCAGATACGTACTGACAAAATACCGCCCGCTCAAACAGCCAATCAGAAGACACGATTTTTTAGGATACTGGACTGGAAAAAAAAAAAAGATAATCTATGATTTTCAAACTCTTTTCAAATCTCCTAATGATGGGTTGATGACTCAATACCAGTTAGAAAGTTAATCTCAATAAGGTACATTTTTTATTTGGAGGGAAAGGGCTGGGGGATTCACAGTGAACTTGGTTGTAGCCCTCCCCCTTTCACTACCTACATACGACTATTTCATCAAATGTTCATAATTACCTCAAATTGTCAAACTCCTTGTTAAGATCAAAGTTTTTGCAAATCTCTTGTACAACTGAGTCTTTGTCACTTTCAATCATTTCGTCAATATCTTTTAAAAGTCTGTACAAAGTGAAAAACATCAACACAGCAATTTAAATATTTGACTTCTGTTCTAAGCTTTGGGCTCTTGACCCACCCTCAGGAATAGGATACATGCTTCACAGTGATGGAGTTTTTTAATATCACGGTAAATGCTATTGATTGGAAACAAAGAATATAACCATGACCAAAAATAAAGGTTGCACACAATGTGTAGTTCCAGAAATTGCCCACATCACCCCCCATTGAGGATTTTTTGAGACCCCCCCCCCCCCCTCACCACCAGAAATTCCAATTTTCTTCCTTATCACCTCCGTAATTTTGTTCTTTTTCTGACCCCCCACCCCTCGGCCAAATTCCTCTGTGTGTGTGAGAGGGGGTATGGATAATTTCTGGGACAAGGCAGTGTGTGCAAGCACAATAAGTATAGGTAATAGGACTACATGCTGTCCAATGTGGAAATAATTGGCAGAAAAAAATTCCAAGGACTGACAAAATTGGAAGAGGCTGATAGGCCGAGTCCAATATGACCGTCAGAGGAATTTTATTCATTTATTTCCAAATTGGAAAGACATGTAGCCCTATATTGCAAATTAATCATATCACCCCAAACTCTACTAGACTGATTCCTTAAGTCATAGTTTTCCATCGAAAGAATGTGAGTGGAAACGATCCAAATTAATCTTTAATTTGGACAGGAAAGAGGATTTGAAAATAATACAATTATAGTTGCTTATATGGGATTATAGTGATGATACAATTATAATACTTATAGTACACTCAACAAAATTACTCGACTCTGATTGGTCGAGAGGAGTGCATTTATAGCGTTAATTGTACTCTGTAGGAGTACCAAATTAAGTTGCTATGGCAACACGGCCAAAACAATGTCAAAACAATTATTTTCTATCATTTTGTACTTAAAAAACATAAATGAAATTTCGAAGCCGTAAGAACTAATCTTTTTTATGCATTTCAGTTGAGCGATGGACTGAAAATCGGCCGCCAAATAGACAAAGATGAACGGCATCGCTTCGCATTTTTTACTGAAATTTTGTTGAGTGAACTATAAACAAAAAATC